CCCCRCYAYYRTGCTCTCTCTCTCTTGCRAGVYTGCCTGTTTTCCYTTMCAGAGGGCAGGGATGRHAGRHRACGCTCACAGTTGAATTCTGCCAACTGRGAGAGTACACTCGCATRGCTTCCCTAGCAAGGGAAAACAGGCACACTAGCAAGAGAGAGAGCAGCCTTGGGGGAAAAAAGGCGGGGCTTCGGAGTGAGCTCTAGCACAAGCTCGCTCTCGCTTCCAGTAGTTTGCTACGGCTCTTAGAATCGCAGGTGGTTTTTATATGAATAAATAAAGCTTTTTTCTGTTGGTGGTACTGAAATTAGCATGTGTCTCACAATCAATGCCATCTTAATGGAAGAAATATGGTATTTATTAATTCTATGCCATATCTCCTTCAACAGCAAATACTGGGATAGAGGATTTTGATACTAATCTGGGTCCCCAACCATGTTAGTCCAGCCTGCCCAGCTAAAAACCCATCCATACACAAAACTCTTGAGACCAAGATCAATCAAATTATTGTTATTACTGCAGGCCCTGCAATAGACCTCTTTCTGTGGCAACTTTTCACTAAAATTGTGAGAAAGATGCATCTATATGTATCTGCTCTTATAATTCTAAGAGAAATCTAAGAGCAGAAGTCTTAGATTTCTTTGCAAAAAGCTGAATTGATTTCCAGCCTAAAAATAAAAAGGAAGGTATGACATCACATCTATATAAGGGTGTATGCATTCCATTGCCATTACTGTATTCTCTCCCATTCGCCAATGGAATGCATAGGGAGAAGGGCCTAAATAAATACTATAGGCATCAGATCCTGTCTAAACTTGGAAGCCAAGCATCTCTGGTCAATACTTGGTTCAGAGTCTATCAATGAATACCAGGTGCTGTAGATGGCGCTTCAGAGGAAGGAATTGGCAAAACCAGCTCTGAGTATTCCTTGCCTAATAAAATTGCATGAATTTCATGGGGTCAGCATAAGTACACAGTCGATCTGCAGGCACAAACACACTATAACAAGGAACAACCTCACCCCCTTTAGATCATAACCATAGTTCTTTTAGTTACAATTATAATTATGAAGGTCTGCCCTCCCTAAGTAGAATCTAGTTCAAGAACTAAATGGTGTTGTGACTCCAGCACAGCACTCCAGCAAAAAGCATGCGGGGAATGCGGAAGAACTTCATCAGTGTCGCAGATGGACGATGAAAGCGACAGCTTCCCTGGTGGCCTGAAAAAGTTAAATAGCTTCTGTGTATGTCTGTATATGTTGTATGTCAAATTGGCATTGAATGTTTGCCATATATGTGTACACTGTAATCCGTCTGAGTCCCCTGCAGGGTGAGAAGGGCGGAATATAAATACTGTAAATAAATGAATAAATAAATAATTGTGACCTATTCTAACGACTAATGCTCTGTTGTTGGTGATGACATATCAGATCAGAGAAAGGTTTGTTTTGTTCCACATGCCAGTGGTACCAGTGGCTTGTTATATTGTGGTTCTTTTATTAATTAACCAAAACCAAAGAACGTTAGTTACTTTTGAGAAGCAGTTACATTAAAAGTTATTTGAAAATGTTACTGGAACTCCTTTTTTGGCTTCAGAAAAGTAGCTGTGACTGCTGTGAATAAACCGTGCTACTCCAATATCAGAAACTAGCCAAGCATCATATCTGAATACCAATGAATTTTTTTTTATAAGAATGGGGTTAAAACATGCATACATTTTCAAGTAATCAGATTCCCTGGCCAGCCTTTCTTTCATAGATAACACATTCTTTATGGCAGCCTTCACCTAGCCTCATCTGTTTGACTAAAACTCTCATCATCACTAGCCAGCATAACCAATGCAAAAACATGTATAATACCTATCACCACACCTAAATTTTCATTTATTTCTATAGAGATAAATTATTTTATAAATTATTTTTATAAACAGTTGTTAGAGATCGGCCTGAGACTCTTGAGGCTGATGGGTTACTGATGATTTAGAGAGGATTGTGGGATTGGCTGTGGGATTTCCTGGGGCTCAAAGTGATGAAGATTCAAGTAAGGGGTCAGTCAAAGGAGCCAGAAACTGTAACACTAGATAAAGAGTTGGGTGAAGAAATAAGTGAAACAGAACGCTCTTAGGAGAAAACACCTGGAGTTACGGAGATCAACAAAGGTCTTTGTTTACAGATCAGATCGTAGGTCTGAGCAATTGCATGGGAAATTTGGGGCGTGATTTTGTGGAAAAAACATGACTTCATGCGTGCTGATTAATTAGCAAGTTGTTTACCTAATAGTTGGTTCAGACAATGTAGCATTTCAAGTGAGAAGCTAGGCCTGAGTTTTCTGGTTCTTGTTTCAAGTGAAGCATTGGTTTTGGATTTAAGTTTCCTAGAAGTTATATATGTTCTTGTTTTTATATTCCTGCTCAACTTCTACTAAGTACGCCTTTTGCTTGTGGACTTATGCTGCACTTGTGACTTTTTGACTATTCCTGGACTGTGTTATTTTGGAATTTGCATGAGACATTTGGATTATTATTTGCATTATCATCTATTGCTAAACCGTTTTGGAATTTTAGCTCTATTTTTTTATTCCTGATTTTTTGCCTATTTTTTAATGTGTTTCTACAATAAACTGCTTGCTTATATTCTGGACTCTTATGTGGTGCTGTGGTCATAGGTGTTCCCAGGCCTGGATTTCAACAATAGTGTCTCTAGCCTGGTCTTTTCTGTGCTCAAGATGATGTATAACAATTCAAAAATTGCAATGTCCCACATATTCCTTAATGTATTATTAATATATTACTATATTCCTTAATGTATTATATTCCTTAATGTATTATTGAAGATCATATTCCTCTTAAAGATTTCTTGAGTTTAGTTCACATTAAAATGTTCTGCTTTCATAAGGCTTTTGGCTACTATTGTGGATGTTATCCACCATTCCTTTAAATTTGATGTTTTCTGTGGATTAAGGTCTAGGCTAAAATCCTTTTCCCCCAGATTTTTTTCTTTCTCCTCTTGCTATCTTCAGGGAATAAGTTGTTTATATTGTCAGGAAACGTTAGTGCACATCTAAACCATCTTACAGAATACAAATGTGTATCACTCCATTCTGTTAGCATGGCATGGCTGAAACAATGAACACTGAGAAGTAATTGCTTTTGAGCTGCTTCATAATTTATTAAAGACTTTTGTTGAAGAACAAGGCAGTCCACATTTAGGGAACCATTTGAGGCAATGCAGTAAGAAAAGAAAAGGGGTTTAAAGGCCTAATTTTAGAGAGTACTGTGTTTAAAATGAAATGCTTACATATCCTTAATTGTCTTCTAAACTGAACAAAATCCCTTTTTGATGGGAATCTTTAGAAATATCCAGAATTGAGCTTCTACTGCTGGAGCAGCAAAATTTATCAGAATTAGGAGGGATCATTTGGGATGCTACCTGGAGTTGGATTTCAGTGACTCCAAAGGCTGGGGAAACAGGAGATGGGGACAAATTTTCATTAGATTTTAAAGTATCAAGTAGAACCTTCACTATTAAGTGTGACAACTCAACTATGTGATTCTTCATGGGAGTGTTTAACAGGATAGCTGTGGAAGCCTATAACATCTGTCAGGGGTGCTTTGAATGCAATATTCCTGCTTCTTGGTAGGGGGTTGGACTGGATGGCCCATGAGGTCTCTTCCAACTCTATGATTCTATGATTCTACATAGTTGTTCCCAACCGTTTTTTCACCAGGGACCACTTGACCAGCTCAGGGACAACTTGAACATGGATCACTTAGACCAGGGACTAATCTCCAAAATTAGTACTAAAAGGGTTACGGATCATATTTTGGTTAACTTTAGATTTGGTTTGGTTATTTGGGGTGCTGATTCAGAAAATTTATTGGATAGACCATATCAGCCCTAGTTTCTGATACAAAATATATGCCATCCAGTAGTTGCCAACTGCTCGCCCACCGAAAACCATATTTAATAATCGAGTGCTGATGCGGTAGTAGTAATGATTCATGGGTATTCAGCCTCTCCCCTCCCGACATCCCCATTACCTCAGCCCTATAAGGGTTTAGCAAGACCAGTTCTTCTAATTGCCGTGGGGTTTCGAGTCAACTGTGTAGTAATAGTGAGGCCGCCATTGTGGACCTCTGGTGGTCCATGGACAACAGGTTGGGAACCACTGCTGTAGCAGAAGTTTTACGATTTTATTGTCATTGGATAGCCATTTATTTTAAGGCTTAGCCTAGTACAAATATAGGTGCTGTACTCACTCTATTACCAATATGCTAAATACTTTTGCTAAAATTGAAGGGATGTCTTTTTCTTTATTTTAGGTACTTCAAGAAATGTAAAAGCATCTCCAGAGAAAGCAGAACTCTTTTTCCAGAAGCTAAGAAATAAACATGAATTTACAATTTTGGTGTCACTCAAACAAGCTCGCTTAAACTCAGGTGTTATTTTTTCCATCCACCATTTAGATCACAGGTAAGTGTAAGATCTTTTACATCTTTTATTTTTCTATACTGAAAGCTGAAGTTTGGTTAAAATAAAACTGAAGGAAAAAAGAATAGTAACTTACACATCTCCACAAAGAAGCAAATTCTGCTGAAGGAGATCTGATTTACTTCCAAGTAGACATGTTGAAGATAAGTTAAGATGCGACATATATATTGTACGATTGATGTGACTGTGGATAATGTAAATGAATATAAATTTACAAGTTAAAACCAATCAACACAAAGTGGCACAGCTGTCACTATTTAAATGCCTCCCACAGCTAAGGACATAAAAAGACATTCACCATTTGCCTTCCCATATAATTGTGGGTCTCATCCTCATGTAATGCAAATCATTTTAACTTCATTGCCTCATGTACTACTTTGCAGCATCTGTTGGCTTATGTGTGTGCTTCCTAACTATTTGATCTCCTACTCACAAACAGTAAATATTGCTCAAGGTTATGAAACCATATCTATGTATAATCATCACCATCATCATAGTAAGAAATAGCACCACAACTTAGAAGGAATGGTGTTGGGTTTAATGGGCTAAACTGAAAGCCCCAAGGGCATTTAAGAATGATTTATTTCTAATACAAGGCAATAGCTAACACAGGTAAAAGGGGAGTTCTCAATATTGCTATACCTCTGCCACAGCTGCTGTTTTTGTGGGAATGGGGATCTTACAAGGAAGTACCCTTCCTGGGACCCTTTCTTATCTTCCTTTCAAGGAAGTCTGAGTTTGAAGAGCAAGGTTAAGGAAGTATCCTTCCTGGGACCCTTTCCTTTGACACAGCTTGAGTAAGACACGTCATAGCATTCTTCTATTCTGATTGCCCCAACAGGCAGGGCTCACAGGGAAACCCTGTGTGAGAAGCACGCAGCAGCCTCTCTGTCCCATGTGGTGCCAAATAGGGTAGGAGGAGCCGTGCTTGCCTGCCACATGGTTCTGTAACGGGCAAAAACATGTGATGGCTGAGCCCTTACCATTATGGCCATCCGGCCAAGCCAAACAAACAGGATTGGCCAAAGGGAACTGACCATTCTAAATCCATGCATTAGCCTAGTAATAGTTAAATATGCCATTAGCTTTCAGGTACTGTAGTTAGGGAACAGCAGTATGGGAAAGAGACATTCATCATATTTAGCAGAAGGATGGATGCTTGATCCTAGCAAGAGGAACATCACTATATAAGGATATTTGAATCTTCAGTGAAACACCTAGTAAATTTATTTTCAAAGAGTATAAATCTGTCTGATAAAATGAATATATAAAATGTCCTCCAGAAGAGGTTTGTGAATACAATATACCAAGGCTGCTTGATATCAATAAAAGAGTCTTATTGTTATGACAGTGAAACAGACTTTCTGTAAGAGACATTCTTTTCCTATGAACATATTACGATCAGAAACACTTCTAAATGACAGTTTCCGTACTACATGTGATGTTCTCACAGAAGCGGGTTTCTAACTGAGAAAAGAGCATATTAGATATAAATAACAATACGAATCCATTTAATATATCCAAATCAATGGTTTGATGTGTTGCTTTTCTATTACAATTAGCTGTGACGAACATTAACTTATTATCCCTTTCACACAATCTCTTAATCTGTCTTTTATCTTGATGATGCTAAGAGGTCATTTATCCTAATAAATCTAATGCTTAAAATGTTTGTTTTAAATAATCCATGTAAAGATGGGAGTAACATTTCTCTTCAGATAGATACATTCTGCACAAGACAACTGTGTCAAGTAAGAACCATGAGCCTTAGTTTTCAGCTGTAAGTAAAGAGACTATATCCTGTGGTTCTTCAACAAGAGCAAGGCTTGGCAATGGGTAAATCTGGTGGTCAAAACCAAGGGAATACAGTGTCCAATTTTGTGCATCACAATTGAAGGGAGATGTTGACAAGCTGAAATGTGTCCAGAAGAGGGCAACTAAAATGATCAAGGGTTTGGAGAACAAGCCCTATAAGGAGCGGCTTAAAGAGCTGGGCATGTTTAGCCTGAAGAAGAGAAGGCTAAGAGGAGACATGATAGCCATTTATAAATATGTGAGAGGAAGTCATAGGGAGGAAGGAGCAAGCTTGTTTTCTGCAGAACAATGGCTTCAAACTACAAGAAAGGAGATTCCACCTGAACATTAGGAAGAACTTCCTGACTGTGAGAGCTGTTCAGCGTGGAACTCTCTGCCCCAGAGTGTGGTGGAGACTCCTTCTTTGGGGGCTTTTAAACAGAGGCTGGATGGCCATCTGACTGGGGTGCTCTGAGTGTGATTTTTCTGCTTCTTGGTAGGGAGTTGGACTGGATGGCCCACAAGGTCTCTTCCAACTCTATGATTCTATGATTTTATGAATAAGGAGAGGTGGACTCCGATTTTAGTACACATGAGGAGGACAGTGATTGAAGCAGAAGAAGAATTGTTGGTTGGATGGCAAATGACAACTGTAACTTATACTACGTTAAACAGCACTACTTCCAACAGAGTAGCTCCAGGGGACCTCTGATCCATGAAAGTAAACAAAACTCATTCTTTGTGAGGTTGCTGTGACTTTGTCTAGGATGAATGGGACATTTATTTAAAGGTGTCTACTGCTGGCTCCAATAAAAGAAGCCACAGAATAATTGTTCACTAGGAAATTAATGATAGTTGTAGACCTCCCAGACATTTAAATATGTCATGTCCAATGGCAGCAAGACCATCAGAAAAGTCATATGGTGCAGCATGGTAGTTCTGTCCCATGAATTTAAATATGATTACTGTAATAGCTGCGGTTGTACTTATTTCCAGTGTGGGCAAACTGTTTCAAGTGCCTTGCTGCAAGTGTTGGATTGCTACTGGCATGGAAACACTAAGGACGGTGTGTGTGGACAGGGTGGGTGGACAGCATGGATGGGTGGGGATTCCTGTCGATCATTTTTCTTTTACTCTTTTACTAGACTTTAGTCAGGTTTCAGTGAAAGAGCAAGGCTTAGAAGCAGCAGCAGGGTTATCTCTATTGGTTCCTGAAAAGCAGTAAATTGTGCAGTAAAATTTGGAATATACATTTTTTTAAAGAGTGAGAATTGATATTTTCATATTTGTGATTACCTTTTTTGTTTTGTATTTTGGGTAAAATGCATGTGCCGTGTACTATATAAGGAAATATCAAAAGCAGAGTGCAGCCACTAGAATAGCTTTGGGTAGATGAAGGAATGGATGCAGACAGACTAGCAGGAGAGATAAGCAGATATTGGTCTCCTTAGTTTATAGGCCCTTGGATGCCATGCCAATAAATGGAAATGGCATAGTAATCTATGTTTTGATCCTGAGCTGTCTTGCATTAGAGAGGCTACCAAGAATGTGTTCTTCAGGTCTGGGATTTCATTTTTCAGATTTTCCCATCAATCCTAGTTTGTTAGGAAGGGTTTCTGGTGATGTAATATATATTCCTAGTTCTAAAACTTCTGTGTTGGATGGAGAATTTCTAAATGGAAAAAAGGTATTCTACATTCTTGCATACCAAATTAGATTAGAGCCAACTGTGCTTTTGTTTAGAATTAAATAAGGAATATCCTCTAATTGGCACCCCAAGTATGTAATTTTGCCCTCTTTTGTAGTATGTAGTTTTGGCTTGAATTTTTTTACTATTTATTCTGGCAAAACAGTGAATTACCTGCCTTTTCTAGGTTGCCAGTATTGCCAATTTACTTTTAAAATAGAAAAGTGCAGTAAATAACATTAAAAAGTTCTGATTTTTGAATGCCAATTTAGCTGGGGTTTTTTTTAGGGGGGTGGGGGTGGCAGCGCTCACAGGGTTCTATGGACAGATTGAACCCCAGACCTACTGCAGCTGCCTATTCCTGCTTTTGCTCATTTTTGTCTGTCTGCAAGTAATCTAAATCCAGTAATCTAAATTGTGACTGAACCAATTTAGATTACTGAACAAGGTGGTCCACACCAAGAACTAGGCAAGGAAGTATACTGGCTCTGCTGCAGCTCTCAGCATTATTCAGTAAGTGAACATTTTACAGTAGTTTTAGTCCTTCTTCAAAGTACAGGTTCAGAAATTGATATTAGGGAAATCTTATTCAACAACTTGATCATTCATGTACAGCACCCATCAGGATTCACAGATATTCTTCTGTTATTTTAAGTGTATGTTTTGCTGTAGCTATGTGGATGACATTTTATTGAGCTCTTAAAGGATGAGCTTTTCATTAGTTTCATCCATTGCTAGAAAAGCTGTGGATGAGAATTAGTGTCTGGAGGCTGTATTGGGCTGAGTGAATGCTAATGAGTTAACATTGAATTTCTGCAAGAGAGCCATTCTCCAGGTTAGGAGTTAATGGACCCATACACACATTAGTGGATTGGCTGCAGAGTGTGTAGCAGTGTCGCACCCAATCCAAGGAGCAGCAGAAACCCAGGGCAGTGCGTGGTCCCTTCTGAGCCCTTCAGGTTTCAAGCCCCCCCTTTTATCCTGGGTAAGGTGCTGTGTTTCTCCATTCACACCCTCCTGCTCAATTCAATTCAGTGTCTCTTTTGTCCCTGTACCATTACTTAGTTTGAATTCATGCACTCTGTAAGATTGCTGGACTGAAAATACGAGACTCCTTTCCCTTCAATAGCTATGTAGAAGAGAGAATGTCTGCAGAGGTTGCATGTTTCCTAGTTGGGTGACAAAAAACATCTAGTGAAATTTCATCTTCTATACTACCATTAAAGGTGCAGAAGTCTTCACCAATCCTAGCTGGTACTTGTTCATGATGCTGCTAGACTGAGTTATGGCAGCACATGCCTTGGCTATACCTGTGTGCATTACAGTAATGCAACCTAGATAGTGGTATCTTCCAAGATCTTGCCTGAGAATGCAGCACTAGGAATATTGGTGAGTTTTCATTTGCAGGATCCTGATGCTTCTGAATTGAGATGGCTGCAGTCTCAATTTGTTTTAAGACACAAAATTCAAATGATTGTTGATAAACTCTTTATAGCCCTAAGTGCTTTAAATCTGTGATATCTCAGAGCCTATTCCCCTATTATCTTGTCTATGCCCCAAGATCTTATGGGAAGGACCCTCTCTGTGCTAACCAATAGTAGTTCCAATTCCCAATTCGCAGAGACAGTAGGAAGGGTCAGTATCTAAACTTGTTTTAAAAAATTAAATCAGAAACACATTGCTTGATTGGAAATAACTGTGCTAAGGTATTTTACAGACACTTTATTTGTAGGTATCAATGTAGTTTACTGTTGATGTACCCACCCTTCTGATTCCTGCCTGTTGTAGCAAATTGTACTGAAATATGGAGTAGCTTTACATTTGTACTTGTTTTCCACCAGGGAATTAACTGTGCTCATTAGACTGATCACATGTTGTTCAGTGTCAACATGGAAACAGAACCCAAGTGCATTGTTAAGCTAGAATTTTGCTTGCCTCTTGGGATCTTATCAACATGTAAATATTCCATGTCCGACTTGCAATATGTTCTCAAGTCACTTCTGACACAAGAAAAAAAAAAGCTGAGTAAAAAACCCGAGACCTATATAAATCTTACTGATTAAATCTCCTTGTGCAGGTAAAAAGTGGAGTATAAATAATTATAATAACAACTATGTTTTTACATATTTTTTCAACCTGCTTTTTGCATTCCATTTTCTGAATTTACTACTAACTTCTCCCCTACCCTGGGAGGGATATGGCTATGTACACTTCAGGATAATATTCCTACATTTCCGCCCCACCTTGCCAGTAGCAATGCTTCACCGTGCGGCTTTTCCCCATGCTGGTCCTATGGTTTCTAATGGAACACGGGAAACCTCCCGTGTTCCCGGTGCAGTGTTGTTGGACGCTTGTGCCCTGGTTGAGCCACGGAGCCCCACCAGAAATGATTCTACATCATCTGATAGGCAGTGTGGGGCTCTATGGCTCAACTGGGGTCAAAGCATTCTACGACCCTGAAAATGAATGTAATGAGGGCCCTTAGAGTTTTACATCTGATCAAGTGAATTCAAGTTAGTTTTACAATAAACATGATGTAGTGAAGCTAATGTTCTGCAAATGGAGGTCCAGCTGTGCAGTGGGATTTCCCCCTCTCTCCAGAAAAATCTGCTTCTCATGGGCTTCAACCTTTTGGAGTGGATATTTTTGGTATGTGGAGGGGAGCAAGCTACAGAGGGTTCCACTGATACAAGCAGCAAAAAATATCATTGGATTTCAACTTTAATCTTTAAGCTTCCAGAAGAGACTTAGCCACTTTGAGTCTCTTTTAAGAGGGAATAGCAGGATATGATGATGATGATGATGATGTTTTGAAAAGTTCATCTATCTGTAGCAAATTTATTTGGTTGCATATGTTTTTGTAATCATGTGTAGATTACATGAACCTGAACTATGAGCTATGGTTTAATAAGAAACCTGCTTATGTTGTTTACATTTTATCCTGAAGTTTTGTGTACAGGAAACTTAAGCTCATTTGTTATTAATGAGAAAAATAAGGAAGCCGTTGGCATTGCTGAACATGGTCCTCTGCATCTCACCCATCTTTCATCCCACTCTTCTACAACCTGTGTTTGTTCTGCCAATCAACTCCCCACCAATTATCTCTGTTGAGCTCCTTATCTCTGTCCTTAATCCACCTACTCAGTTCAGTCATAGCTTGTACACAACTATATTGCAGTCACTTTTGTTTTTGCTGCATCTGATCAGAAAATGTCCCAATGACAGCCATTTCTTTGTGTCTGTTATATTGTGCTCATTTTGTGCCTAATGAAAACCTCTTCTATCATGGCTAATTGTAATATCTCTGCAATGTGTTGTCATCCAGTTTTGAAAGGAAATCATGAATAATTACACTAATTTCATATTCAGTTTTGAAATGGTCAGCATTTAAAAATATTATCAGTCTTGACTTCATGAATAGTGGAAAGTTTTTGCTTAAAAGTTGCTTACTCTGTATTCTGTTGAACTACTTTGCGAACTTGGAAACACTTCAAACAATTGCTATAAAGTAGACCATTTAAAATGATTAACATCCTGCCATATTTGACTATTTTCTTCTAGAGGCTAAGCTTTGCTTAATGCCGAATGTCTTAGAATGTAAAACATGAATATTGGTAACAGGATATAATTTATTCTATGTAATAAAAGATCACACAGAGAAAAACCTTTCATACTAATGAATTATATTTATTTCCCACAAAGTGCATCAAGTTTTAGATGTTAACAGGACTTAGCCAATGAAACAAAAAAGTCAATATAATTTTCTAACTTGTGAGTATTTTACTTTAGAAAGGATGTCACTAGCTCTCACAGTTGTCATGTATATGTGAAAAGGCAATTCATAATGAATTGCATGATTTCATAACAGATAATAATTATTTCCTTTCATGTTTTTTTACTGGCATATCAGAGGTTTGAATAAGAATATATGGAAGAAGTAAAATAGTTATGCCAGCTGCAGTATTGCCATATGCTAGGGGTTGTGAAAAGTGATATCATTCCTAGCCTATCAAGAGCTATTAGATGTAAAAGCATCTATCACATGATATAGAAGCACATGGCACTTTTTGTTCTGTAACTATGCCATTTCTGACAATTTCATGAAAATTAAATCATGTTTTATCCCAGCCTTGATCATATTCCATCCCATATTTTAAAAGGTTTGAAGCAGTATACAGTCTGGGTTTGCCTGAATATGATCTAGAGAAGTTGTATAGTCAGAGTACCTGTTTGAATAGCCACCAGTCAAACAGAGATTTCTATTTACATTCAAGCTAAAGTGAGAGGAGTGTGCCTCAGTAACACACAATATATCAAAGGGCAGGGATTGACAACAAACAGACTGATGTGCCTGGAGGTGGGATAGCACTGCAGGTGAGCATTAGGGATCCTAGAATTAGGCATCCGTCATGTTCTTTACCAACAGGTTGAGGATAAACTGGTGTTGTGTTTACTATCATAATTGAATTTCAATGGAAATGCACCTATTTCTTACTATGAAATATGGTAGCATCTGCAGTTCCTCTCTATGGCACAAAGGATACCAGAGCATGTCCTAGAGCACCAATGGTGGCTGGTATCTTTCTAATGATGAATCCATTAGGTCAGTGGTTCTCAATCTGTGGGTCCTCAGGTGTTTTGGCCTACAACTCCCAGAAATCCCAGCCAATTTAGCAGCTGTTAGGATTTCTGGGAGTTGAAGGGAGCCAAAACATATGGGGCCCACGGGTTGAGAACCACTTCATGTGGTGCTTATACTAAAATTTAAAGGAGCTATCCATGGTGCTATCCATGGTGCTTGGTATCTTGATTTGTTCCTGTAAAGTATGGAGGAAACCTGAACTGATTCAGATGTAAACCCGCAGCTGTCATTGCCTTCAAGGAAAAGCATCCCCTTTCAGAAGAGAAGGAAAAATGGTGGTATTTCTACAATTTTACTACCCAAGCTTGGTCTTAAAAAAATGTTTCTATGAAGTTATTTTTTAGCATCAGTTCTCTTTCATTGTATAAACTTTTTTTTCATGTCAGGAGAGACTTGAGAAACTGCAAACTGAAACTTTCTGATGTAAAAGAATTGGTCATTTGCAAGGATGTTGCCCAGCGGATTCCAGATTCTGTGGCAGGCTTCTCTCATGTCACTTCACGGGAAGCTACAGCTGACAGATGGGAGCTCACTCGGCTCCCCGGATTCGAACTGCCAACCTAAATTACCTATTTTCCCAACTGCTTTTATTTTCCCTGTGTTTATGTAAATGTTATTTATTTCTTACACCAGTAAAAGATTACAAATCATATTTGCAACAAAAGCTGGCTGCTAGCTATGCTCACACACTCTCTGCCCTGCAGAAATTGTCTCTTATTGAGTTGTCCATGAAACTGTAGTGTCTCTTAACAAGGTCTGATTCATAAGTATCCTATTAATTTGATTTAGAAGTGTTTCTGAACATCCAATAAATCAGGGATCAGAGTCACACAGCTCTCCAATTGTTATTGGGTCACATTCCCATCAGACCTAACTAGCATTAGCAAGAATGAGATTGTGTGCTAAACTTTCTGTCAATTCTGTTTATAAACAAGCATGGATTGTGTGGATTGTTTTTTTTTTTTAGTGTTAACATTGCTTTATAACATGCTGGCCCCTTTCTGATGCAGGTACTTGGAACTAGAAAGCAGCGGCCATAGAAATGAAATTAGATTGCACTATCGTTCAGGAACTCATCGCTCACATACAGAAGTGTTTCCTTACATTTTGGCAGATGACAAGTGGCACAGGCTGTCTTTAGCAATCAGTGCATCACACTTGATTTTGCATGTAGACTGCAATAAGTAAGTAAGAGTTTAATTTCATATTGCTGTTCAAGTTGTATCATTCTAGATTGTCAATGAGTGGAATTAAAGTGACTTCTATTTTACCTTGAATTTTTGTTTCTTTTTTCTGTATTAAAAACAGAATTTATGAAAGAGTGGTGGAAAAGCCCTATATGGATTTACCTGTTGGCACTGCATTTTGGTTGGGACAAAGAAATAGTGCTCACGGCTATTTTAAGGTATGTTTTTCCTCCTCTACCCTCAAGTAAAAATCAAAGAAGAGCATGGATTTGTCGTTAATGGAGTTAGAAATAACCTTTTACCCAAAGCAATACTGATTTTGTAGGAGACATCTCAAATGACTGAATTGCAGGTATTCTTAAGTCTGGTGATAAGGTGGTACTATGTATTTCTTCCATTTGCAAACACTTATATGCTTCCATAACAATCCAAAGGGTATGTCTTCTACCAATTAGACATTATCTTTATAATTCAATCTGTTTCTTGAACGAAGTGGCACTTTTTGTTACTAGGCTTTTTGTATTGGTAATGTATGCATTTATTTTACTCTCTGAAAGTGTAATATGACTATGAACATAAGTGTGCTTAACTTGTAAATGCAAGTGATTTATTTGATCAGGAAAGCATTACTTTGGGTTTGTAACAGTGTACATAGAGTGTTGGTTGGTTTTAGAATCTGTATGGTACTATAAATGTTAACTGTATTAATTAAAGGCTCTGGCTGAATAGGATTTGATTTAGTATTTTGTTCATGACAAAGTGAATAAGAATGAATGAGTGAAAAAAAAATTAAAGCAGAGCATTTGGGAAGCTTTTTTTGGAGAAGAAGAAAAGCCTATCGTATACTTCTGTAGATGGGAACCTTTTTCTGTATCACATAGAGAATTCATATCATACAGTCCAGAGGGGATAGGACTGATTGGCACAGAAAGGACTTTTGGTTGCATCTGGAATTATTATTTATTATCTATTAATTTACCATATTTATATCCCACCTTTCTCACCTCGGAGGGGACTTAAGGCAGCCTTACAACAGGCAACAATTTGATGCCATACATACAAGTATCAAATAAACAATTACAATTAAAACCAGATAATTAAAACATGAATTATTAAAACATCAGTTACAATCACGCCATCCAAAACATAATCAAGGGTTGTTCCATTTATCACATTGATTCCTGGTCACTTATTGCCCTGTGTCAAAAGTTTGGTCACACAACCACATCTTAAGTTTTTTTCCCCCTGAAGGTGAGGAGAGAAGGGGCTGATCTAATCTTCTTGGGGAGGGAGTTCCACAGATGAAGGGCCACCACTAAGAAGGCCCTGTCTCTCATCCCCACCAATCGTGCCTGCAAAGGAGGTGGGACCGAGATCAGGGCCTCCCTGGATGATCTTAACCTTTGAGATCATTACACATGCCGTTCTCTGTGTGAGGAAGTGCCATTTGGTGATTTTGTGCAACTTTGAGAAATATTGATTGTCTGTTGGAGGAAGACTTGTTGTAAAGCCAAATAGCCATGTATTTGTGAGGGAAAGACAGACTTAAGCTGAATTCAGACACAATAGACAAGATGCTGAGGGTAGTGCAATTTGTCTTCAAGTCTAATTTTCATACAAGCTTTTTGATGGTATGAAATTTGCATTGTAAAAGCAATTGCAAGCCTGGAACCCTGACCTGAACATGATTTTATACCTGGAATGGCTTTGTGATTGTGGCAGTAGCCATGAGCTCATTTTATCAGATGCAGCCGACATTCCTGCTATGCACAACCTGGGGCCAGGATACTACCATCCTACCATTTCTACCCATCCACCCATTTCTATTTGAACTCCAGAATTGCATATCAGAATTCAGCCTATGTAAGGCTGCCTTTTTAAATGATTCAGAGACTTTAAGTGCTGCAGAATGCTACAGCCAGCCTCTTAAAAGGTATAGGAAAGTGAGAGCACATCTAAACATTTCTTTGGTGATTGTACTTAGCTTCCAGCCTAATTCAACATTATGGTCCTGACCTTTAAATCCCTTTGTGGCTTGAGACTTTTATTGTTCAGACGAATAATTCTAAATTGTGTATTAGCCAGAAAAGATGCACACACACTTTGTTTCTGAAAAAAAAACCAAACAAACATAGTAAGCAAAAATTGATCATTTCCACTTGGCATATTTGCATCTCAAGCATCACTTCTGCTACAATAAACTCTGTAAATGTCATTCTTCCCTAATGATTTAGAGCACATTAAAAGTCACCATAATTTTGTGAATTGCTTGCCAATATAGGTATCCTAAGATGCCTGTGTTTTGTAGAGTTGGTGAGTTGTTCTGCTTTCAGGTGTAGTAGGTAGTAATAGAATGAATGGGAAAGTGAATTTTGCCCAGTCATTTTTCTCTGTAAGGCCATCTGTTCCTGCCAGATATTTTGGACTGCAACTTCTAAGTACCACCTAGCATTTCCAGTAGAGTCATAGCCCAAACATCTCCAGCAGTCCCAGTCAAAACTGGGGCACTTTGGATCCCACACTGGGAAAAAGTATAGTAAAATAAATGAAATTAATTGTAAAGAAGCAGGAACCTTGTAGAATAGCATACCCGTTCTGCATGCATACTTTACATTTTCTACCCAGCATGATTTGAGCATTGGACTAGAGAGACTGGGAGACCAAGGTTCAAATCCCCATCTGGCCAGAGAACTTTTTTTTAATTTTTTAAAAGTTTTTCTTAGGTGAATTTATGGCATACAGAATATGAGAAAGAAAACATCTAAAGATAACCAAATACACATAATATAAGTATGCCATTCTCCCAGACCTCCCACCTGTGAACTACCACCCATCACATTTCACACTACCTAGTGTGAAACTAATATTTCCAAAAAACAATTATTTATTATTTATTATTTATTTACAGCTTTTATATTCCGCCCTTCTCACCCTGCAGGGGACTCAGGGTATATTACAGTGTACACGTATATGGCAAACTTTCAATGCCAATTTTTGACATACAAACATATACAGACATACACAGAGGCTATTTAACGTTTTCTGGCCTCCAGGGAAGCTGTCGCTTTTCATTGTCCATCTGCGACGCTGATGAAGCACTTCCGCATCCCCGCTGGAATGCTTTGCTGGAGTCTTCTTTATGGCCTCATAAATCAGTTAATTTAGCCTCCCCACACTTTAAGGTGGTACCTTATTTTCCTACTTGATAGATGCAACTGTCTTTCGGGTTGCAAACAAACAAACAAACCAAAACCCTACCCTTATCCTGCATCCTACAGAAATCCACTTTACTTTGGGCAAATTATGCTCTGTTAGCCTCAGACAAAGGTAAGGGCAATCCTCTCCCAACAAATTTAGCCAAGAAAACCTCTGTGATAGGTTCATCTTAGAGTGTTCATGTGCACACAATAAAAACAACAGCAGCATGGAGAGAGATAACAGGAAAAATGTTACAGCAACCATTAGAATAAATAAGACAGAAGGCAGAATATTTTAATGTAATTGGACTAAAGATACGGCTCTGGGATACAGAAAATTCCTCTACCATTCCAAACTGGAAAGATATTTATATGACTCTTTTTCTTTTTGAAAGACAAGAAACAGCTATTGGAGAAGGGCATTGTTATGAAACTAAATTTTCTTTTTCTGAAGATTTTTGAAATACAAATAAATACTCATTGACAATATAGGAAATGCGGACATCAGTCATGGAGGAAGGGCAGATATCTCTAACATTTATTGTGGAATCTGAAGAAAATAGACATCTGCAAACAGCTTCTTTTAATGGATCATAACATGAATAAGTAATTTGCTACCAGAGCTTTCAGAGCATGAGTTCTTTGGTAGTTCTGTGTATATATGTGCCTTCAAGTGATCGGTTGACTTATGGCAACCTCATGAATTTCATAGGGTTTCCTTTGGCAACAATACTCATAGGCAGTTTTTCTAGTTCTTTCCTCTGAAATGTAGCCTATAGCATCTGGTAGGCAGTCTCCCATGCAAGTCTGTTTAGTATCCAAGATCAGATAGAATTTGGTGCCTTTGGGGTGTCTAGGCCTTATGTTTGGCATTTTTAGTAGTTGCTTTTAACAAAAGCATGAAACTACTGTCAGAAAATCAGAATACTGATATAGAACTAAGGATTTAATGCTGGATTGCTTAGGAAATAGTTAAATAATAGAACTATAATTGATATAGCTCAGGTGTGGGAAACAAGCAGCCCTAGACCCAGAAGTTTCCAAAAGATAACAGATCCAATTTTTTGTCCAAAAAAGGCCGAAAAATACAACGCAAACATTCAAACAAACACAAAATTTTAGTAGTTTTACTTCCTTGCCCTCCACTTCTCTTATTACTGTGGGAATTGCTGTTTTTTGACCAGTTCGCAGAACTGGAAATGGGATTGCATTGCTTCCAGTTGTGTTGTGAGAATGGCCCTGTTCCATCCAACTTGGCCATTCCTGGTCTAGCTAAAGAGATACAAAATTCAATTTGTCTCTAGATACACAGCGTCTGCCAATTCTTTACGTGCTTCTACGTCCCTAAGGAAAGGTCTTATTTGCTGATTTCCTTCCTGATGCATGGTGCTAAATTTGTCATTTTAAATCCTACATGACTTACATCCCAACTATCTGAAAGAACACCTGCCAGTATCAGTGCTCACATCTTCAGGGGAGGGCTTGTTATTAATAGCATCAACTTTAGAGGTTCAGGAAACAGTGGCATATGAAAAGGTTTTATCTAGGGTAGCTCTAGCTTGCCGAACTCACTTCTTTCCTTCTGAAGTGCTCCTAGCTTCTTTCATTATGTGCATTTTTGACAGCAAGTCAAAATGTACATCCATACACAGATCTCTGGACATAGAAATTTATACCAGATCATGCTGTCTCACCCTTAGTGAAGCTTTATGTAAACTGAGATTTTAATTATGGTTTTATATTATTTTACTGATGTATATGTTCCTGCCCAAGAACTGCAAAGTGAATATTTTCAACAAAACAAATTCTGGCTTTAGAGCTCAACAATTATGCTACAATATCTCCATCCAGCTGCAACTATCCCATGTATTCCATACTTATTAATTTAACATTTTATTTCTTCCTTACTTTTCTCATTGTATGGGGTCAAAAATCACATCCTTCATGCTCCACATTTTTAAAAAATTATGGCAACTCTGATTGATAAAAAATCTTGTGTGTGATTTAAATCAAATATTGAATTGACTCTTCACTACTGATTTCATAAGAACTGCATATCTATAATGGTTCAGACCAACATTGTTGCCATATTTTGCTACCTTCCATTTCACAAAGCACCTGCTCTGGCTCTTTCTCTGGAAATCTGATGTAACTTTAAAAAGAAATGAGGCAGCCAACCATATCTTCCCAACATAGGAAACTGCCTGTTACACTCTGGCTCTGAAACACCTTTTCACCCAGCACCACACCAGTCCAGCAATATTAACTAGAAATGTTTATTAAGGAAAGCAGGTACAAAGGGAAAGGGGGCACATTTAAAAGGGCCAATAGAATAGAAAGTACAAAACAGCAGTAATCCAAAATCAGTGAAGTACATAATGTCAAGAGAACCAAAATCCACAGCAGTTATTCAAACATGAATCCATAAACCAGAAAACAGGAGCTTCTTCCAAGGTGAACCCCTTACATGAACCAGAACAGGAAACTTGAATCATAAACTTGAGAGCAGAAACAAAATAAATCATTTTAAGCAACGTTGTCTCTTCTGAGAGGCTTGAAGCCAGACCACTTAATTTAAACCCTTCCAGACACTCATGACATCATGCCAAATACACCTGGACTTCAAGGTCTCCTCACAGATTCTGTGAGAATATCTAGTTAGTTTGTTTTTCACCCCCTCAATTCTCAGACATAATCTAGTTTCCCAGGAAAAATCCCTATCAGCCCAAGGACTTTCACTTTCCCCTGCTGCTTGAGAACTAGCACTGGAATAAAAAACATTGGCTTCCTCTGTCTCATCTGCATGCAGTTCTCTCTGATCCAAGGCCTGCAATTCCCTCTGATCACACACAGATTCCACATTTTGAAACTCAACATCCCCTCATCCTCTGACAAATCCTCAGATGCTTGCTGTGCTACGACACTGCCTTATATTTAGTCAGAGCATTGACATTTTAGTCCAGTACTGACAGAATCACTCCAGAATTTTATGCAAGAAATGCTTATCTCATTCTTAACCTTCTCTGGAGGACTTGTGGTCTCCTGTCCAAGAGCTACCTAGGTACAGCTTTACTTAGCATTCAAAAACAGACACCAGTGTATGTTTAGGTTGGTATGGTTAATCCTTCTGCTAAAAGAAATCAGGGCAACATGATTGACAAGTTGGATAGGTGAGTGAATCTACATTTAATCGCACAATTCAAAATAAAGTGAAGGACAACATGATGAAAATAGCCACTCTATCTAGGATGTAGTTCAAGAGCTCAGAATACTGACTTTATCTATGTTTTGAATAGTTTTTATAGGTCTCCAGTAATTTACTAAACAAATCATCACAACAATCCTGCATTGGCTACATTAAACTGAAAATAAATTTTGCTGGGTGTCAACAGCTGTAGCGTGTGCTTTTTTATTTCAATTAACATCTCAAAACTCCGGGAAACTTCACATTATTAAAAAAATTAAAGGTCACTGGTAACACTTCCTTTGGCAACTGAATAAAAGTAATGTTGAACTTGGAGTAACCAGCTCTTGCCACTTAATTACACCTTGACATTTAATCTCAGGTCTCTGAAAATGTTTGAATGCATATGTGTGTCAATATGTACATGTACATCTATTTACTTCCCTCTCTGACTTACAAATGTTAAATGAAAGAAAAGCACGAGATTATGATTTTATAGAAATTACTTTTGCTGGAAAAGGTACAATAACTTTTCTTTAGACTAGAAGATGTAACCAGGAAATACTTGCTTTCAAATATTACCCAAGCAAAATTAAAAAATATATAATCTTTCTTTCCTCTTGCTTGTATACAGGGCATAATGCAAGATGTTCAATTACTTGTCATGCCTCAAGGATATATCTCTCAGTGCCCAGATCTTAACCGCAGTAAGTCTGCTTCTTCTTTTAGCATTACATCTAATGTGGTGCATCTTGTTTAAATTTAGTGATGTTACATTTTAAAACTCTCTCAAAATATACTGATTATCAGTTAAATTTTGATAGTTGTACAGGGCAATCCTATGCACGCCTTCTGCAAAGTAAGTCCTCTTAAGCTCAATGAGACTTACATCCAGATAGTTATGTGCATACAGGGTTGCAGCCTAAAAGAAGCACAATTTGACAAATGCAGTGTTTGTAATTTCAGCATGCCCAACATGCAATGACTTCCATGGACTTGTGCAGAAAATTATGGAGCTGCAGGATATTTTAGCCAAAACCTCTGCAAAGGTAATGAGTTTCTCAGAAGGTTGTTCACACACTGTGGTGGGAGACACTGTAAAGATTCCTCAGCTCTACTGATATATGTATGTGTGTGTGTGAGAGAGAAAGGGCATACCAGCATATGCATTTTCAGTGTCTTCTTATGTAACACATCCCTTAGCATGTATTTGTTATTTATATGGAAAAATGAACCAAAACTCAAGAGAGAAGTGGGTCAGAAATATTAGAGCAATTATTTAGTCTATTTGAACATAACCATTTGGTGGCTTAGAATACTTAGGGGATGAGATTAATGGCAGAAGGCTTCTTTAAGCTTGAGCTCTTAGAATAGGAAAAGTGAACAAATACCCCCTCCCACTACCTTCTATCAAGCATTGTTCTCTGCAACATCTTTGTGAAAGGAATGAAACTGTATGATGGATTAAAAACAGAGAACACTCTCGATGGCTTTAAAATGAGTTTTCGCACCCTTGTGCAATAAGCAGCAGCATATTGCTTCTTTGCTTTTGGTTTAGGTTGCAAGCTGTCTTGCTAACAGATGAATGGTGCTAATGATAGTTAGTGAAACAAATGATCTTTTCTTTTATCATTTGTTTTGAAAATGGACTTAAATTGCTGTGTATTTCACTTTATAAATTATGCATAATAAAATACATGCTATCATAACATGGGCAATGATTTGTGACAATGCCTGAAATCAGTGGCTCAAAATTGTTATAATAAAAAGTGTTATTCGATATTTTGTTTATGGGCTAAATGCAAAAATAGTCTTAAATAAACCAAAACCATGGGTGTTTTTCATATCTGGAGTGACTTGAGAAACTGCAAGTCGCTTCTGGTGTGAGAGATGTTGCCCAGGGGATGCCCAGAGGTTTTACCATCCTGTGCGAGGCTTCTCTCATGTCCCTGCATTGAGAAACTGGAGCTGACAGACAGGAGCTCAACCCACTCTCCCTGAACATGTTGGTCAGCAGTCCTACCGGCACAAGGGTTTAACCCAAAACCATGTAAAAGAATGGGACTTGTTCATGGCAATAACCTTAAGTGCTCCTGATTTCAATAGGTCTAATAAGGTAAGACTGATATTTGTAACCATTTCTACAGCTAACCAGGTCTTATTTATGAACCATGTTCCTAGCTGTCCCGAGCTGAGCAGAGGATGACTAGGTTGGATCAGTGCTATTGTGAGAGAACCTGCACTATGAAAGGGGCCACCTACAGAGAATTTGAGTCCTGGACAGACGGCTGTAAGAACTGCACATGCATGGTAGGTGTACAGACAGTTCATTTACTTTAATTGTTTTTCTTGTTTAATTTAGCATTTTTTTCTAGTAAAATCTGTATGTTGCTTGTGTGCGCGTGTGCATCTCTGTGTGTGGATATCTATGGAGGGACTGTTATAACCACCATCAGATTGGGGCGGGGGGGGGGAGGAGGACTTTTGGTGAAAATTTCCATGGCCATATCACCTTTCCACCAAGTCTGCCTTTGCTTAGAATGTGATGCTGTTCAATGGTCTCCGGGTTAAAATATGATTTTTTTTTAATTATAGGGGAGATTGCTTTTGGCAGGAGGTGTGATATCTTAGAAGGCATTTAAAGGTTTTACAAGAGATTGAATGTTATGTGGTACATAATGAATAGAAAAATATAAACAGGTACATTCATTGACTGAAAATGGCTTTATGATCAGCTGATACACACACACATATATATATACACACACACACCTTTCTGAAGTGATCTGGAAGATACACACACACACACACACACACACAAATACTGTGACAGAAACTTCTCATCTTATGTTGGACATTTAATATACTGGGAGCTGTTAAGAACTGCAGGAAAATGAAACAATAGCGTTGGAGAAAATGTAGTCATACGAATGTGGTTTGGATTGAAGACAAACAAGGGCATTCCCAAGCATAGTCCGAAGCTCCATAACTTTTTATTTATTTATTTATTTGGAGCATTTATTAACCGCCATTCTCAGCCCACTCGGGCGACTCACGGCGGTGTACAGTACAAAAGGCAATTCACACAAAGACAAGTACAACAGCATATTAACCATACAACAATACAACAGTTAAAATTACACTAACTAATCCGCTTCGTCTCGTAATAGAATCGTGACCAATCTCGTATTCCTTGTACCATTCCAGTCGTCTTTACCACATTACTATAGCACTTAATTAAATGCCCTCTCGAACAGCCACGTCTTGAGGCTTTTTCGGAAGGACAAAAGAGAGGGCGCCTGCCTGATGTCTGTAGGGAGAGTGTTCCACAACCGGGGGGCCACCACTGAGAAGGCCCTCTCTCTCGTCCCCGCCAGGCGTGCCTGTGAGGCAGGCGGGATCGAGAGAAGGGCCTCCCCAGACGATCTCAAGGTCCTCGTGGGCTCATAGGCCAAGATGCGGTCTGAAAGGTATTTTGGGCCGGAGCCGTTCAGGGCTTTGTAGGCCAACACCAGCACCTTAAATTGGGCCCGGTAGCAAATCGGCAGCCAGTGGAGCTGGGACAACAAGGGTGTTGTGTGCTCCCTGTATCCCTCCAGTTAGTAACATGGCTGCCGCACGCTGAACCAGCTGAAGCTTCCGGGCCGTTTTCAAGGGCAGCCCCACGTAGAGAGCGTTGCAGTAGTCAAGCCGGGATGTGACCAGAGCGTGTACCACCGTGGCCAAGTCAGACTTCCCGAGATACGGGCGCAGCTGGCGCACGAGCCGAAGCTGTGCAAATGCTCCCCTGGTCACCGCTGAAACCTGGGGATCCAGGCTCAACGATGAATCCAGGGTCACACCCAAGCTGCGAACCTGCGCCTTCAAGGGGAGTGCGACCCCATCCAGCACAGGTTGTAACCCTATATCCCGTTCGGCCTTGCGACTGACCAGGAGTACCTCTGTCTTGTCTGGATTTAGTTTCAGTTTGTTCGCCCTCATCCAGACCGTCACAGCGGCCAGGCACCGGTTCAGGACCTCGACAGCCTCCTTAGTAGCAGGTGGAAAGGAGTGACAGAGTTGGACATCATCTGCGTACAGATGACACCGCACCCCGAAACTCCGGATGATCTTACCCAGCGGCTTCATGTAGATATTAAACAGCATGGGGGACAGTATGGAACCCTGTGGAACCCCACAAGTCAAAGGTTGTGGGGCAGAACAGGAGTCCCCCAATAACACCTTCTGGCTGCGTCCCTCCAGGAATGAGTGGAGCCACTGCAGAGCAGTGCCCCCAAGGCCCATCTCCGCAAGGCGCCCCAGAAGGATACTGTGGTCGACAGTATCGAAGGCCGCTGAGAGGTCCAGGAGCACCAACAGGGACACACTCCCCCTGTCTAGCTCCCGGCGCAGATCATCCACTAAGGCGACCAAGACCGTCTCGGTACCATGTCCCGGTCTGAAGCAAGACTGTGCCGGATCCAGAATATCCGTGTCTCTCAAGAATACCTGGAGTTGTGAGGCCACCACGCTTTCCATGACTTTGCCCAAAAAGGGGAGATTGGAAACAGGCCGAAAGTTGTCAAATTTAGTGGGGTCCAGTGATGGTTTCTTCAACAGCGGTTTTATAACTGCTTGTTTTAAGCACGCTGGAATCTTGCCTTCCCTAAGGGAGGCATTAACCACCACCGTTACCCACTCAGCCAATCCCCCTCTGGCCTCCTTCAGAAGCCAGGATGGGCAGGGGTCTAGGATGGACGTGGTGGGCCTCATTCCTCCAAGTATCTTGTCCACATCCTCGGGTTTCACAAACTGAAAAGAATCCATCAAAATAGGACAAGCAGGTGCTCTTGTTACATCCTCTGAGACTGCATTTAACGCGGCGTCCAGCCCAGAACGGATCAAGGCGACTTTGTCTGCAAAGAACCGAGCAAATGCTTCACAGCGCGTGACCGAATTGTCAGGGCTCCCGCCAGAGGTGGCGGGAGTTAAAAGACCTCTAAATCCGAAACAACTCCGCCGGACGGTTCTTTGCAGACGCAATAGTGGCCGCAAAGAAAAGTTTTCTTTGCGGCCTTTATTGCCGCGGCATATGCCCTAAGAAAGGACACAAACCGTGCTCGGTTTGACTCGCTTGGATCCGAACGCCACACGCTCTCTAGTTCCCTCTTCCTTCGCTTCATCACTGCCAGCTCCTCAGTAAACCAAGGGGCTGGTTTAGCTCAGCTACTTGAGAGGGGACGTTCCGGAGCGATCATGTCAATTGCCCTGGTCATCTCCCCATTCCAGAGAGCGACCAAGGCCTCGACATGGTCACCTACCGAGGTGGCGGGAAAATCCCCAAGAGCCGTCAGGAATCCATTCGGATCCATCAGTCTCCTGGGGCGGACCATCTTAATGGGTCCTCCACCCTTGCAGAGGTTAGGGGGCGCAGTGAGCCTAAATCTGATCAGGAAGTGGTCGGTCCATGGCAACGGAGAGATGGACAACTCCTCCACACCGCCACCCTGCTCCCATCCCTGGCAGAAAACCAAGTCCAATGTATGTCCAGCACAGTGGGTGGGGCCAGATATTTGTTGGGACAGCCCCATGGTTGCCATGGCAGACATGAAGTCCTGAGCCGCTCCTGTGAGGGTCGCCTCGGCATGGATATTGAAGTCTCCCAGCACAAGCCGTTGAGACTCCAACGCCAGGCTCGAGACCACCCCCGCTAGCTCAGGTAGGGAGACTGTAGTGCAGCGGGGTGGACGGTACACTAACAGAATCCCTATTCTGTCCCGGTCACCCACCCTCAGGTGGACGCATTCAAAATTTGTGGTCTGCGGGATGGGACTCCTGGTCAGATGGATGGAATCTCTATAGACCACTGCGACCCCGCCTCCCCGTCCTCCGGATCTCGGTTGGTGCTGTACGGAGAAGCCTGGAGGACAAAGCTGGGTAAGATTTACGCCCCCAGCTTCATCCAGCCAGGTCTCCGTAATGCGCCAGATCTGCCCGCTCATCCAGGATTAAGTCCTGGATCCAGGTCGTTTTTCCGTTGACAGACCTGGCGTTCAGCAGCACCACCTTCAATCCGGAGGGCCCGCTCACCTGGTTACACCAATATACCTTAGGAGACCGGTTTAGGGTTGTTAATGTTGGTAAGCGGTCCGAATTAAGCCGAATTTGAGGTCTCCTTTTACCGCATCTCCTCCTCCCCACCACGACCTCTATGGGGGCCCCTCGGCTAGTGGAACACCTCCCCTCCTCCATGCCGCAGTCCAGCACCAAGGTCTTATTTCCAATATCGCTCGAAGTTTGGATTGTTGGCCTTTGCCATCTCCCTTGCCTCCCCTCCTCCCCCCTCCCCGCCCCATCCTTGTTCACAGGCTCCAGCCCTCCTCCTCCCCTGCCCCCTCCACTAGTCAGCAGTAACAGGGACAGAACAAATAGGGGGATGGGGAGCCACATGGATAACAATAGATTCAGGTGGGGCTAGGCGTTCAGCCACACCAGTTAAACAGTTCGTAAAGTGCAAGAGACTTAAATGCCACCCAGTCAGTAATATCACTCAATCAACAACATACTGCGTACCGTTGGGCACATACATAAAGTGCAAGATCTAAGGTGCAGTACATAAAGTGCAAGATCTAAGTGCAATAGATACCCAAACTGGTTCTCTCAATTAACTAAAGTGCGGCATAGAGGAAAAGGATGGGGGCGTAGTGCTGGTATAATTTAGCAGCAGTGGCAGGCGCCTTAAAGTGCTATTGCGTTCTTGATCAAATTAGCAGCAAACGACAACCAAGGGGTAACTGAGGTAGTGATATGTAATCACACTCTCACAAGGATGATGGTAATAGTAATTGGATAAGGTTATTAAAATTGTTATGATTCAGATGTAATCCCTAGACGGTTGGTCTAAAAGCGGATGGGTCATCCGGCGATGTCAACACAGCGGCGGTCAGCACAGTTGAACTACGATGATATCTCTTCATACAAAGAGGCCAGCATAAGAGGTCTACACAAACGGTCTACACAAGAGGTCTACACAAGAGGTCTACACAGTAACAATCAGCAGTTCAACACAGTCAACACAATCAGCAGGCACTGCTGGACCATGAAAGATCACACAATTTGTCCAAGATTGGATCAGCGGGATGCAAAGGTGGCGGTAATTTGGTCACAGGTGGCCGACTCAGTCTTCCGGGGGTGGTGGATACCGGACAACCACCGAAAGATCTAAAATGCTCTAGGCTAAAGTGACATAGTAGTAGAACCAGTTCGAAAAAAGTTCTTTGCCTTCTTGGACTAGGCCACTTCTCAATCAAGGGTAGTCAGTTCAGAATTAGGAGACCGGTTTCTGAGGATCCGTGAAGGACAAGCCGGCATCCCCTTGGCCAGGCTCCCGCCTCTTCCCGACCAGCCAATGGGTGGTGGCACTAATCACAAGCAGATGAGCAGATGGTATACTCATGCAAGAGGCAGTGTCTGTTGGTCCGTTGTTAGTCAATTCACGTCACAGTTGCCAAGAGCTTTCAAAGCTGGAGATCAGATGTTATTTATACAGCAACACAATAGCAGCAACACAAGATTGGGGTCTCAGTAGTGACAACTGGGCTTCTAAAGGCTTCTCCCAAGCAGCAACACAGCAATGGATCGCTCATTGGAAACCTATCAGAAATCCAAGGCTCCAGATGAAAACTCTTCTTACATTATGTAACTGAATCGTGCTCAGTGTTACAAATTGGCCTCACTGTATTAGATCCCCCTGCAGTATTGCCAGATTTTCACAAAGGGGCATATTCATTGTTTTTGACATTTCTAATAGTTGTCTTCTGATGATCCTAGGAAATATTTTTCAAGGCTGTATTTATACTTCAGAGTTATTTTCAAATTTTCAAAATCAGCAGCAATAGCAACAAATAATAGGATTGTAAAACAACAGTTGTGGACCCACTATGCACATATCAGAAATTTATATAGCCATGGGGGTGGGGGTGGGGGGGGGGTGGGATTCTTAATCATGGAAAGAAAAATATGATTTCTTTTCTATRTTTAAATATCCATCTTAGCCTTTCCAAGTACTGTTTTATTTTCCCTCTTCTTTCTAGAACGGCACGATCCAATGTGAAGCACTTGTTTGCCCAATTTCTGATTGCCCTCCAAATTCTGCACCTGCCTATGTTGATGGCAAGTGCTGCAAAGAATGTCAACGTAAGTGCTTACTTTTGTTTATTTAAAAATGTGTAGCATTATAACATTTATAAAGTTTGCATTGGCTAGAAGAAACAAGAAAAAGACGTGTCTTTAAATTCTCTTATTGAAAACAGTTGAATTAATTCACTACTGTTTGTTGAGGCCCCAATGCTATTGACAATCCCAACTAGAATGGAGCAATACACTCTGTTGGATTTACCCATATGTTGATTCACCATCCAGTATTGCTTCAGTGGGCCAAATGTAATTGGAAATAACTGTCAGGTTTCTAGCCAAAATTTCTAGAACCTTCCAACTGATCTACAATTTGGATAAATCATTTTTCAGAGTATTAGGCATAAAATGTTCCTTCAACTGCTAAAATAGAATTTGTTTTATGGAAAGGTGTAAAGTTGGATGGTTAATGGCACATAATGTTTGAGATCTGTTAGCAACGTCATCTTAGTTTTTTTATTAATGAATAAAAGAGACAGCAAATCTAGCCATACTCCTAACAGGTATGTGCTCAATATAATAAATATTTGCTATCATTAATCTACAAAATCCTGCACAGCTTGGATCCAGGCTATCTGAAAAATGGTATTGCCTCATACAACCTTGAATTTTAAGATTTTCAAGTGATGTCTCAGGTTAATCTGGATTAATCCTGAGTAATTAAATAAATGTATCAATAAAACACCCAGGATATTTATTCCAGATGGGGATGAGAACACCAATGAGCCCTTGGTCTTCCCCCACTATCTAAACAAATCTATCTGTTTAGTGTATTCCTGCATGACCAATATTTATATACCAATACTGATTTTCCTCTGTTCTTGCATCCTTTTTTCAACAAGGGAAGCAAATTACCAGTGCAGCACTTTAATTGATCAGATAGGCTAAATTTGACTGGCCCTACTCTATTATAAATTCCTAATTAAATGCAGTTGGTTTAATTCTAAGCTCTTGAGCAATGATGTCAAACCAAATTACTGATAAATTCTAAAAAATTATATCAGTTGTTCTGCAGCCATTGTTCTCTTTCCAGGTTTGTTGATTACTGCAATGCACTCTATATAGGCCGCCTTCTGAAGATGGCTTGAAAGTTTCAACTAGTACAAAGATTAGCAACCAGGCTGTTGACAGGGGTGGGTTATAGAGATCGTACAATCCCACTCTTTCACTGGCTGCCTATTTGTTTTCAGGCCTAATTCAAAGTGTAAGTTATTACCTATAAAGCTCTGCATGGCTCAGGTCCTGCCTATTTACATGGCTGCATCCTCCTGTATAAACCTGTTTGGGCCTTATGGTTGGTTGGGAAGGTCCTCCTCTCGGTCCCACCTCCATCGCAAGCGAGGTTAGTGAGGACGAGGGAGAGGGCCTTCTCTGTAGTGGCCCCCTGACTGTGGAATGCTCTCCCCTGGAGAATAGACAGGCACTCACTCTCATGGCGTTTTGGAAGGATCTGAAGACCTGGTTATTTAAACAGGCTTTTGACAGTGATTAGTCAGTCTCTAGAATATGGATCAACCTCGATGGCAATTCTCTTTTAGCTCATAGGAGTGACTGTGTTTTAATCTAATGCTTATAATCTTATTGTTGATTTTGTTATTTGGTTATGCTGTATTTTATGTGTTACATTGATTGAATGTGTTGCTAATTGTTTATTTCATTTTATGTATTTTACTGTACTGTACTTTATTGTATTATTTATGTTGTAAGCCACCCCGAGTCCCCTGGAGAGAGGGGGCAGGATAGAAATAAATTGTTGTTGTTGTTGTTGTTGTTGTTGCTGTTATTTGAAACACAACAAGATGAGTCCACAGCAGACACTTTGCTGGCTGTTGAATTGGATCACACGTCGGACACTTCCCAAGTGTCTAGGACTGTGTGATGTATCGGTAAATAATGTGTGCAGATCCCAGTAAAGTGGCCTTTTGCAGCTGGCAGATGGTAATTTTTTCAGCGCTGATTGTGTTTAAGTGCAGACCAAGGTCTTTAGGCACTGCACCCAGTGTGCCGATCACCACTGGGACCACCTTTACTGGTTTGTGCCAGAGTCTTTGCAGTTCGATTTTTAAATCCTCATATTGTGTCAGCTTTTCCATTTGTTTCTCTGCAATCCTGCTGTCACCTGAGATTACAACATCGACAATCCATACTTTGTTTTTTAACACGATTGTGAAGTCAGGAGTATTATGCTCCAAAACTCTGTCTGTCTGAATCCAGAAGTCCCAGAGGAGTTTGGCATGTTCATTCTCTGTAACTTTTTCTGGCTTGTGATCCCACCAGTTAGTTGTCGCAGGCACATGGTATTTGTGGCACAAGTTCCAATGAATCATCTGAGCAATGGTGTTATGCCTCTGCTTGTAGTCTGTCTGTGCAATCTTCTTGCGGCAGCTTAGGTTATTATTATTATTATTATTATTATTATTTGGAATAACAGGCAGCAGACTCATATAATTACGCAGAATGCAATAGCGATAGACACTACAAGCTGTAATTCATAAACACAACCCCAAATTCTATTTCTGAGCAGCGTGAACTGTGCACTGAGTTGTTCATTTTTATCAGAGTAGATCTACTTGTGCTTCAGTGTTACATTTGTTGTGATCATTTGAGTTCCATATAAGCAACTGGATAAGAGAATCTGGGATGAAGGAATGCAACATTTTGGTTTAGCAAGTGGGTTAGCTAAGACATAATTATGCTCAGTGGGAAGCAACCTCATTCAGGAGTTATATGTGTGATATAAAGAAAAGCAAGAGAATGATTGAGATGACAGAGTCATTGGGAAAATGTGGTTAGAATGAAATGCATCTATGGAACCTGCTGGTCTTTTGCTCGTTGGTTTAGGAAAGAAGGCCCAGCAGGCACTTATATGCATTGCTTGCCTGTGAGAAGTAGCCTGTACAAATCAAATTCCTTATGCTTCATTTCCTCCAAATAATAAGCTTGAAACCACCAGGCAAATTGTTAATACAAGAAACAAAGGTTTAAATCATAATACATAAATAAATACGGTGTGATTTTTATCTGAAAGTGTTGCATGTGAAGGTTCAAATAAAACTGATAAACAAAAATTACGCCAGGAGATTTGTAAAAGACCATTAAAATGAATGGAACAATCTTGTGCCTAATGACCAAGTAATGGTTTTGTTGTTGCATTACAAAAAAAAAATCCACCACAAGTCATGAAACACAAATTTGATGTTATAGCTGTACATAAGAAAAAGAGAGAGAACATCACTTGTGCTGTGAAACATGGAATAAATACTGAAATGTTGTGGTTTGAAATTGCAGAAGCAAGTTATGTTGTTAAAATCAATTTTTTTTAATACTAGCTTGGGGACCTGGCACTGCCCAGGTTATTAGAAGAAGGCATTGTTTGTCTTGGGATGTTAAGTAATATCACTGAAGTTTGGTCCAGATCTGTTGTTGGTTGGGTCCAATGTTCTCTGGACAAGGGTGAACTACAATTCCCAGAGCAATCACACCTAAACGCTGACATTTGCAGTTGGCCATGTAGGGTCTGGGTGCCAAATTTGGTCCAGATCAGTTGTCAGCTGGATTCAAGGCTCTCTGGATAAAGATGAACTACAACTCCCAGATCCGAAGTCACTCACTCCCAAAGCAGGGCTGTATGCATAGTTGGCATGGTGTTTGTGGAGGACACTGGCAGGGTTTGGGCTACATGTTCATGGTGCTCACTATAACCTGCAATATCAGTGGAGAAAGGGATGTGCATGTTTCCCTTCTCAGTGGGAACTAAAGCTGTTTGTGGAGTTGAGAGTCTGTCTGCGTGAATGGTTACCTCCGCAACATATACACATACACATTTTCACTTTTCTTATGTGTACAGATTTAAAGCTTTCTGAGAATCAGACTGTTAATGTCTGCATCCAGCAAATAAAGAACATCAGGATGTTCAAAATGACAAGAAACCCATTATTCATTACTTGGAAATGAAACAATATCACACAATTGGGGATGACGTATATGAAGTTAAATATTGTTTAAGTCACAGTTAAGCCAAAACAAATTGACTTTGACTTAATTGAGCCTTTTTTATTTAAACGTACTAGAATACATGATGAAATAATGTTTTAAAAAGTTGTGTTATATAGGGGACAATTAGAAGATAAATGTCAGTGGGTTGTTGTAGGTCTTTCTGCCTGTATAGCCATATTCTAGAAGCATTCTCTCCTGATGTTTTGCCTGCATCTGTGGCAAGCATCCTCAGAGGTTGTGAGGTTTCATTTTAGAACCATGTAGGAAGCAGTTGATCCATAGCTTACGGGTTTGGTGATCCATAAAATTTTAATGATATCATCCAACTAATCACCACCAGCCCAGGTCTTCATGTTTGATTTGAATGGGATGAATCTCTACATTTCAGAATTTGTGCTGTACTGCTGTAATGTGAAATTATGAAAAAAAAACTAATATAATTGGTGTACTTCAAAATTTTTGTTCCCACACTTTGTATAATGATAGGCAAATAGAATTTATTGTCAATAATTTATGATGAATTTATGAAGGTCCCTCGTATAGCGTATAGTTTTCATTTGCTTTTAATTGTGGTGCTCATAAAAATATAATATATGGTAGGTTTGCATCTTAGTTTTCCTTCAGTTTTTTGCACACAGTGAAATTACTAAATTTGACTTCTTTTTCAAAATGCTTCTTGTTGATGTTCTCTCAGGTTCCCATCTGTTTTAACAAGTCAGTGGGAGTGTAAAGCTACTGAGCTTTGTAGTGTGGCTTTTTGTTTTGCAAGGCAGCACAGCCATTGACATCATATCCTGCTTTCTTTGTACAAATTTCTTTGTGTCAAAAAATATGCTTCTTTTTCATTATTTGCCTTCTTTCCACCTAGGAAATCAGGTTTTGCTGGTTTGCAGTTTTTTGATCAGTTCACTACAACAAATTATGATGCCTCCAAGAAAGCAGTATTATAGTCATGTAATGGAGATTTATGAAATGGAATAGAGTATTCAAGGAAATGGCTGTACAAA